ATTGGTTGAGAAGTGTTAAGTGATAAGAATTACTGATGGTCTTGAAAGTAGTGAAGGAGAGTAATTAAATAGTGCTTTGTAGAATTCAAGTGCGAAGAAGAGAGTTCTGTTTTTAATTGTCTGGTTCACAAAAATTCGATAAAATCGATCCTTGTTAAGCTATTGATTTTATAGTGTTGGACAGAAGTTATTTCGAATAACGGATAAATTTGAATTACTCGTTATTCGCGAATAACGAATGAATAAATTCAAATTACTCGTTATTCACGAATTAATTATTCGTGAGTAACGAATAAATCGAATTTATTTGACAACTTATTCGAATAACGAATAAATCGAATTTATTCGATAATTTATTCGAATAACGAATAAATCGAATTTATTGGATAATTTATTCGAATAAAGAATAAATCGAATATATTCAATAATTTATTCGAATAAGGAATAAATCGAATATATTCATTATTCGCGAATGAGGAATGAATAAATTCAAGTTACTCGTTATTCACCAATGAATAAATTCGGATTACTCGTTATTCACGAATGAATAAATTCGAATTACTCGTTATTCACCAATGAATAAATTCGAATTTATTTGATAATTTATTCGAATAACGAATAAATCGAATTTATTCGATAACTTATTCGAATAAGGAATAAATCGAATATATTCATTATTCGCGAATGAGGAATGAATAAATTCAAGTTACTCGTTATTCACCAATGAATAAATTCGAATTATGTGTGAATACCGAAGAAATCGAATTCATTCGATAATTTATTCGAATAACCAATAAATCGAATTTATTCGTCAACTTTTATTCATTACTCGACGTTTTCAAATGAAAGAGTCGAACAAACTTCCTTCTCCAGTGAATTTTACTTATAATTGATTTAAGTATCACTCTTCTCTCAAACATCTTATCAGGAACCTTGTGGAAGCAAGGTACATTAACCATAATAGCGAAAGAGAAGAATCTTTCAACGAGAGCTGAAGAAGGTACTGGTAAGTTAAACTTTATGAACGAATGAACGAACAACGAATATAATTTTATTCGTTATTCGAATAAAAATGGATTCGAACAACACCGAACACTGTTATCCTCTGAAATAGGTGCCTCACGCGACAGTTTCTCCTTCCACACGCCTAAAGTTCGATCCATTCAGAATTTCAAAAGAAAACGAAACTCGTCGGTTCGTTAATCGAATCGGACAATCACGTAGCAAAGAGAAGAATCGTTCGATTGTTATTCGCGTGGCGCAGCAGAAATATATTAGAGGTTTGGGGAAGCCCCATAAAACGCGGCCCGTGGAATGATAATGTAATAAGTGGTGGTGATAAGGAAAACTAGTTTGGCCGGACGAGGAGAGCTCGCCGAAGGAAATCGGTGGGTCAGCAATGTAAAATCGCTGAGCAGAAGCGAAGACGGAAAAAGAGCAAAGGGGATAGAGGAGGAGGAGGATGAGGAGAGTGTAATGGATATTGGACCAGGTCCGTGTGCCGGCCCAGCCAACGAATCAAATCATTTGCTCGTCACCTTATCGTTAAGTCATAATTGCGCGACGTGATTCGATCGTTTCGTGAGTTTTTCTTTGGCGAGATAAGGGACCTCCGGGTTCAATACGATCGACGCGATAAAACGCGCGCGAGCGAGCGAGCGAGCGAGAAAAAGAATTACGCGAGCAACGTTGATACACAGCTAGATAACGGCCTGAGAGAAAGAGAGATCAAGCTGAATGGATTTCTAGTAAGCCCCGTAAGGAATATCGAAGGCACCTTATCTACGACGATATTTGTAACCTACCCAGCCCTCCCTCGATCCTTAGCCAATTTACGTTGCACTCTCTGGAAATTGCCAGCAGCAATTACTCAGACGTATTGACTTAAGAATGGAGAGTTCAGTGGTAGTAACGTCTACACCATGGAGAAAGTGTTTGTCGATGGTTGCAATTATACATGTTACGGTAACGTTCTTTAATAGAACTGGAAGGATCGCACGGGTCGAAAATGACCCATTGGCATATTTCCAAAAGTGAAATTTTATGTAAATGAAATGTGATTGAAAAGTGGTCAAAAATGACCCATTAGTAACTTTCCAAGTGTGAATTTTTATGCAAATAAAAGGTGATTGGAAAAGTGGTCAAAATGATCCATTAGCGACTTTCCGAAGGTGAATCTTTATGCAAACAAGATGTGATTGAAAAATGGTCAAAATGACGCATTGACAAATTTCCCAAAAGTGAAATTTTATGTAATTAAAATGTAATTGAAAAGTGGTCAAAGTGGCCAATTAGCAATTTCCCAAAAGCGAATTTTTACGTAATTAACTTGTGACTGAAAAATTAGATTCATATCGACGCACATAGAAGTATACATGCAGAAAAGAATATTGAAAAGTTGCAAACGATAATACTCATTGCTATCGAGCGATCTCATCTTTTGGGAGGGAAAGTTGCTAATGGGTCATTTGTGACCCAGCCAATTTTTCTAGCGTTAAACGAACTGTGGACGGTTTCGTAAATGTAATATAGGAATTTTATGCTCGTTGTGTACCCTTTTTCTCGCTAATGGTACCGAGTAATACAGAAGCATAATGAAAATTCTAAACTCCAGTTACATTCTACATGTATCGTAAACGGGACACAAAATTGGAGAGCATGATCCTTGGGAGTTGTTAGACAATTTGGACCTTGGACTTCAGCCTAATTAGTCTATACATACATTCACCCATGCTTTTAGCCAAAATTTCATCTCTATTTAGAGATTATACCAGCAGACATTTGCACTTACGAGGACCATTCTGGCTTCTCCGTATATAAATTGCACGAATAAAACTGTTAGCTCTTTTGAAACAAGATTTCAACCGTTCTATTTCCACTAATTTATAATATACAAATTATATCTACGTTTAATTGCAATATATAAACAACTTACACGATGAAAGTGTTACAGAAACCATTCGCTAAAGTATTGCGTTAGTCTTTGTACACTATCGGCCAAGTGATTGGAATCACTGTTCATTGAAAGTTACACAAGAATTTCTAAAAAAAGTTAGCAATTTTAAGAATTTTTTAAGGAACTTTTTGTCATTCAAATTAATCGAAATCAAGTGGTTCTCACAACAGAAATTTCAGGTTTATAAAGAATTAGTAGCAGATTCAATATCGATGTAAATTGACAGGTGATTCCAAACTTTTGCCCGGTAGTGTATTTCCAAAACTACGGTCATATTTTTCCCCGCTCCCTCGAAGCGGCGAAAGCAGTTTCGAAAATATGATCAACAAAAACCGTGTCCAAAAAGAGTCACTTTCGAACAGACATTTCACACAAAAGACAATTCTATGGGTATCAAAGCGTGAAATTGTAAAATAACCGCTGTCCCAAAGGTTTACGACAAGCGAACAGTGATTTTTTTTATTTTTCCACCGTTAGAGAAACGTTACTCCTATCAATTTTTCCCAATTTTTAACTCACCTCGACTTGCACGGGCTATTCTCCAAGTTCTATACTCCCTACAAATACGAACCAATAGAAACAGTCTGCAAAATTCTTCCGAACGAAGCGAATAGATTCGAAACGATGCTTTGTATAATAACAGAATTTAATAAATTCGCGATCATCTGTTTTGTGCGTTTAGTGGCGGATTTCGGGTGTCATTCACTGGGAGCTGATAGAAAATGGTCGTATCATTGACGCAGAACTCTATTTATCCTAATTTGATCGTGTTTGGGCAAAACTTAACACTTTGCACTCGAGTGGCAACTGAGAAGCGACATTATGTTTTACTGTTTGGTAAATAATTCAAATAAATAAAAAAAGAACGTATTATAATTCAAATATATCAGTCAATATACATATGGTATGATTTTTTAGCAAATGCTAAATATCAATTTTGAAGGTGATAGGCTATAATGAGAGGATCTTCGAGTGCAAAGGGTTAACCCTTTGAGCGCTATGGACACATATGTAGTTACAATTATCTCTATTTGAGATGAATACGTGTGTATTCCTTAGCTACCTATGAATAATACACGTGTGTTATTTAATTTGGTGCAAAGGAATTACAGGTCACACTAGCAAAAATGTATTTCGTCCGAAGCGATCGCAATCCAGTTCATACGTAGAGCTTCGACAGGGAGTATTCAGCACTCAAAGGGTTAAACAGAATTCGTTTCGTCAACTCTTACGAAAAGGGATTATTCAGCAACAGGACAACGCTCGTCCGCATATTTCACGTCGAACGCTGCAGAAAATTGACGAATTGGGCTGAGAGCGTCTAATTCATCCACCATATAGCCCAGACATTGCTCCCAGTGATTATCACTTATTTAGGTCGCTATAGCATTCCTTGGCTGGAACATTTGGTTCCGAATTTGTGAACGTCAAAACGCTCCTGTCCACTATTTTTTATCAAAAATAACAAGCTTCTACTACCGCGTAGGAATTGAAAAATTGCCCTAAATATGGCAAAAGATTCTTAAATCAAACGGGGTTAACCGTCTAATTTCACTAAATAATTTTTTCCAAGAAAACGCGAAGATCGCGAACTCGATCGCCAACCGAATAAACGAAAAACACTTTGCTCCCAAAACTTCCATTCAAACTACCCCGCGGAAAATTAAGTTGGCGTGCGTATAAGGGCCAGTTAATTCCTACAAAAGCGTAGATGCATCAAACACCAAACGGGAGAATAAAATTCCTCGATTTTCCCCCGTGACCAGCGGGAGAGAAAAAAAATTCCGCTCTCCACGTGGGTCTTTTGCAAGGAGACAGTTTGTTTGTAAAATTGGCCCGATCCCACGTATACACTCGATATGTGTGCAAGGTAGTACACACCGGTTAGGCCAACCCCTCTGTCCAGTACACAAGGAGCGTAGAGAGTGCACTCGACGAGGGTCTCGACAAACGTCATAGCACGGCGAACTTACGGGTACACGTCTATGTATACACACATAGTGTGTGTGTGTGTGTGTGTGTGTGTAGATGCAAGCATACTCACGTATTTCATTGAAATAGAAAGGGTATTCGCCGGGCACGGAACAGTTGAGCCTCGCTTTCAGGAAGCTCGTCCATCTGTCGCTGAACGCATGAGGTCCGCCCTTGTCGTGCTGGCACACTCTACCGACTCGCGAGTACACCGCCTAAAACACAAATGCGCTCAGAGCTTTCGAACAATTGCCTCCTTCGATTCTTTCCTTGCTCTCGCCGCGTCTTATTTCAACCTGCGTCGCGTATGTACGGCGTTGAGTTTCGTCGCTTCGCCGGAGGAGAGGAGAGCGGGAAGAATGAAAGGGAAACTCAACGGGCGTAAAAATTTCGCGGGGTAGAATATCGACGATGGTTTTGGGAAAAAATCTGACCCAACGTTCACTACGTGGATTTTTAGGGAGTGTTTTTTGCAAATTTTTGTGGGGATGGATAAGTTTCTTTTGGGGGCTGAAATGTGGTTGATTTTTGTGAGGGATTGAGAGGTAAATTAGTTGGCCGATTGGTTTCGTTCTATTTTTAGGGCAGAAGAGGGGAATCGGAAAGTGAAAATTGGAGAAATTTGGCGTCTGCGTGCAATGGAGTAAAATGTTTTTTTTTTCTGGCATGATTTGGTCAAAAAAAATTTCGGTTTGTTGATATCTTTTGGGATCGTAGTTCTGGGGTCGTGAGGGTTTTTTGGAGAAAGGAAAAATTGCGGCGATGGCGAAAGTTGAAAAAAAAAAGGGTCGTGATTTTCAAAAATGGTTCAATTTTTTTAAAATCTTGTTTAGAATATGTGCACGAACGATGAAGTTAATCAATAGTAAGAATTTCGAGTTCACTTTGTACTTAAAATATTTTCACATGACCATTCAAACTATGTAAAAAAATCGAGAAACGTAAGTTATGACCTCTTAAGCTATTTTTGCAGGAATCTAACTTATCGAGAGCAAGTAATTGAAAGTAATCGAATTCCTACAATACATGCAAAACACCTTTCTTTCATCAAATTAGCGCAAATTATAAAATTACAAAAAAACATTGAATTCGTTCTTAGCGAAAATGCGTTTCTCAAAGTTCTATCGTCGCTTAACCCCTTAACCTATGATTTCTTTTCTGACTACGCATCTAAGCGTCGGCCATTTTCTATTTCAGTACTGCATCAGGTAACAAAAGCTACTCTGTTACAAATTAACTACATTCAGTAATCCTCAGTGTTAGAAATTAAAACGAACGTTAGGATTACAATTAATTCTTCTTACTAATATAACTAATTCCGTCGCATCTTCACCAGAATCTCTGCCACGAGGCTGATTCGTTGTTACAGGTTAAAGGGTTAAAGGATTCGAAGGGTCTGAAGTGTTTCCCAAACTTACCTTGCCGCAGTTCATGTACTCGACAGCTGTTTCTCGGTAGAAGAAGAAGACGTAATCTTCGTACGCGAACGAGCTGACGAAATTCGGTCCTGTAACAATAAAATAAAAAATTTATCCCAAAATAACTTTCTCCGCTATTTTCCTACATTCCTTCTATTTTTTCGCTCGATAGCCTTTAGTTCAGTACGCAAAGGGAATTATAGATTCACTTCGGCCTCGTCGATAGAACTTCCAATAACTTGGTAATTTCCAAAGAACAGACTGTATGATGAATTGCCGGGGCGGGAGGCGCCGCGTGGAGAAATTGCGATCGATCAAAAATTCCGGTAGATAGCCTCTAAACGGATTACATAATTTATACAAAACTTGCCGCGCGAATTAAATGAGAAAGGGCGACAAAATAGAAGGGAGAGAAAAAAGAGGAAGAAAGAAGAAGGGGTGAGTGGTAGGGTGGACACACAAATTGCAGCGTGTAATTTATGCAAAGCTTCTTACATCGTTTAAGCATCGTCCATTCTATACGAGCCGTGAGAATAGCAAACACAATGCGACACGATAACATTTCACGTGCAACGATGTGTCGTAAAATTTTATACGGACGCGGCGCGATAGAAAGATACGAGAATTCAAAAAATCGCGCGGAAATTACCGATCGTTCTATCGCCGATGGTTTCCCAAGTGTGATCGTTAAAATGTCGATTAAATAGATATCGAATATTTCAATTACCAGAGGCAGCTCTAGGACCGATAGTTTGTGCAAAAATCGTTTTTCACTTTTGAAATTCAATATTAGTTGCAACGATGTATGTTTTTTTTTTTTCAGTTTGTTCGTGTTAAAGGAATTGCGGTTTCGCTGCATGTGTATGTTATGACTATTTTTTGATGCATTTTTCATTGATTGAGCGTGAGATCGTGTTTTTTTTTTTTTTAAAGGGACTAATGGGTTCATTCAGTTATTGGTTTTTTGTACTTTTGAATTGGGAGAGTTAAGTAAATAGTAACTAATTAATTATTTCGGATGGAGGAAAAGAATTTGAGAAAAGAGAAATTTAATTCGATAGCTTTAATATTGTTTCTTTAAGAAATGATCTTAAGGATACTGTAGGTATTACAAGTTAATTAGAGTAATCGATATCTCCCCTGTTCCTTAGAACCGGGAATATTAATGACTCGGACGTGCAGTGGAAAATAATTAATCAATCAAAATTAAGACGTTGACTGAGTAAATAAATTATTATTTTAATAAGATACTTTTAGAAACTATTTATTTAGAACGCATTTTAAATGAGTTTAAAAATACAGAAAATTGAAAATGAAATGTTCCCTATATTATTGTGTAAAATTTGTAATATAAATTTATCTATTAGTCCGTACATATCTTGACTAAAAGCGTTCGTTTTCTGGACATTATTAAATAAATAAATGAAAGGAAAGAATCAAAATATTCCAGTCACAATAAACGTGACCGCGTTAAAATATAATTTCGTGTAAAAGTACAATTATAAAATTACAAGGAGAATAAAGAAGTTACAACTGAACGATCAATTTGCAAAAATAAAACAATTATCTTCCTAAACAACTGAAATTTTTACTTTTTAAAATAACCAAAAACTAAAATTTAGGATACAGAAGGAAACGTGCGAAAACAGACTTTTATCTAAAATTTACTCGACTTCTCTTATATTCATTTAGCCCTATTCAAATACACAATGCGTAAGAGCAACAAGGGAAATTCGGCTGAAATGAATTTAGAAACACGGTAAATCCAGAGAGTGTAGGAAAATGGACCGCGTGGTACAGGAGCGCAAAGCGCGTCACGTTGGCTGGGTTTAACGCGCGAATATTCTAATGTAATTAGCGTGACTTCCATTACCGTTCAGTTGATTCAGATCCGAGCGCTCGGTGCGGATCTTCTCCCTGTGAATTAGCGGCTCGCCACCAGAGAAGTCGGCCACTGTCGCGGCGTACAGCTGCCCCTCTGAAACATGCATAAACGCTCGGCTGTCGGTCAAGTCAGATTTTAACGTTTGCCAGTTAAACGAGTAGATTCGTGTCTATAGAAGACAGTAAAGGAGTACTGTTAAAGATACCCCATGCAGCTGATTTCCAACATTCCGTTTAGTGTCACGTTGGAAATCGCTCGTGAAATGTGCCGGAACGCTTGTATCTCTGGGCAATTATATACCGGGTGTCCCAAAAAAATTTTTCGACTAAACTTCGTCGGTATATTCTACGGCTGTAGATGAGAGAAAAATGTCCTATGAACATGGGTCGTTTGAAGCTTCGTTAAGAAGTTACAACAGAAATACGAAGGTAATTGCAGTACTTCCTATTTCGTATTATCGTTGTAACTTTTTAATTAAGCTTCGAACGACCTACGTTCATAGAACATTTTTTTCTCATCTGTAGCCATAGAAGATACTGGCGAAGTTTGGTCCGAAACAATTGTGACACCCGGTATATAATATTAGCAATTAAAGAGCACTAAATTTCACCGGCGGAACAGCCGTGTACACGTGTGTTCTTCCTGTACATTTCATCTGTGGAGATTATGGATGCGAGTGCAGCTTGTCATCAGCCGACACGTAATCCAAGATACCGAGTGTCAGCCTATACAAATTGCGCCACCTGTTAATAGATGGGTCGTGGGAGGTACCGGGCTAGAGTGAATATATGACGTTAACAGGATATTTTGATGTCTCTTATGGTAAATTATAAAGGAATTATAAAGAGTAATGATTTTGCCGCGTTTAACGTTATTACTTTGTTCCTTCATCGTTAATGTCTGTCTGAACCATAATCTTGCAATGAAAATATCATGGAGGCTGGTTATGCTTTTTAAATTTCAATCTTTTTTCAGTCTTTATTTATTATCATTTCAAATGTCCACTTATATTGCTTTTCATTTACACGCTTTAGTAGCAATAGATGGAAAATTTATGAAAAAGCTAATTGAAAATAGCTAAAATAGGGAGAACGGTTTGGTAACTTTAGACATGTTAAAGGAATTATTCGCTGGTGGAGTTAATGATCCGTGAAAACTGCGAAATTTTAATCAATACCAGTTTTGAAATGTGATATTTTTTGTTCGATATTAATTAATTTATAGTAACTCTACCTTCAGAATTGAGAAACGAATACGTACCAGAATAGTTTAACAATATTCCTCAATACAGCTGGCAAAATCTTAATAGAAACCTTTTACATTAAAAAATTTTGATTTACGATTTATCATATTTTTAGTTAAAAAATTCCTACAAATGAAAGGAATATTATGCATCAATCTGAATAAAAAAATGTTGAAATTAAATTACGATAATGTACCAAAGTATTCGATTGTCATTCTTCAATTAAATGCAAAATAATTATATATCGTTATTATGCTTCCTAAATTAGAATTTCACTTTAAACGTACACAGATCACAATAAAAGTACCAGAAGAAATATCGATGCAAGAATTATTCAACATAAAAACACAGTGTTCAATTTCTATTTTCCATAAAAATCCTATTTTGCACCTTCAATTATTTGAATTGATGCTGTTATACATAAAAAGCTCTACAGTTAATAAAGCATATTTACATAAAGCCAGAAAGAAAAAAAAAATACCTTTCTTTTTCATATGATAATTTCTCGCAAAGATCATAATCGTCGACCGGTTTCCCCTTCAGCGTCGTTGAATTCTCGAACGTCAAGGCCGGTCTCTGATAACTGTCCACTGGCGTTAGATAACTGATAACGCGCAGCCACAGCAGCCACGATGTTACGGAATTTATCGGGAGTGGTTTAATTATAAACACGCCTTGAAAGGCGTATTAATTAACCGGTCACCGCGCGCGATTAGATCAAGAATCGGTGATTTCCCGCAGCGGACGGTTGGAAAACAGGATCCAAGTATACAAATTTTCCGCGCCGGCTGCTGCATCGAAGCGAAGGAAAGCTGGAAAGCCGGGGGTCTTTGTGCCGGAGAGTGCTAACTAGATTGGCCTTCGGTGCAAAGACTTCTTCCTTCTAGAAACTATGAACTTGATTGGCTTTGTTATTGCTCAGGTTCCGTGGAAACTTGGCTAATGACGTGATACTGCTAGTTTAACAACAGATCAAACGTGACTGAAGGAACGTTGCACGCGTAGTATCAATAGGATTACTATAAAGGACCGAAACTGATGATCGAACACGGTGTAAAAGTGACATTAATTTTTTGACGTAGTAAATTGTATTAGCGTGGTAGATTTTTTTGATGAAATGGAAGCTAGAACGTCTTTGACATTTGCATAGGTAAGTTGCAGTCAAAGGTCTTAATCAGAGTACTGTGGCAATCTGCTCTAACAGGTGTGAAATTCAAGCTACAATTCACGTGAAAGCTTCGAGTGAATTATTTCAATATTATTTTTTGCTAAAGTTGTTCATTTATTATTCAAAAATTTTTTCACACTTTTCTATACTTGATTATTGGCAAAAGTGATTGCCTCTTTCTATGTAGTTTCGAGAGGCACAGGATTAGGGTTGTAAAAGAGAAAGTGGAGGTTGACAGGGACAAAAGTTAGGCTCACTGTGAAAATCCTCGATGACACATAAGATCCATCGATAGATTAACCATTTTTAATTAAAAAGTCCCAAAATAGCAGAAGTGTATGATAGGAGAGAAAGAGTTTCTTCTTGCACATAGAGTCGTCAGAATGTTATAAACATAGAGTGGCAGATAGAGTAGGCGTGTTGTGGATAGAGTTGAACTATTCCAAGAATCGTCAGAGTGTTGGCGATAGAGTATCGCAGAGAGCGCTGTATAAGTCATTCAAAAGCTGTCTAACTTCCCTTACAGTTGAAAGAGAAGCTTTGCAGTTGTAAGTTATGTTAAATTATCATATTCCATCAAAGCATCCTTACAAACCATCACACAAAAACAAGAGTACATACACGGCATCGTTCATCCATCTCAAACAGAACTCCAAGAAAAATCCTCAGAAGCCTCTATACTATGTTCAATATGAGAGTAACCTCGCTTCGCGCATGGGACGTGCCTAAGGCAGGGCTAGAACCACTAGAACGTCCAAACCCCCTCTTAACCGCCTACGTTTTCCTCCGTCTTACCCTCTGCTACGCTCTCTGTCTATGCGCAGAACGGACGAGAATCGGTCCGAGAGCGAGGTTACTCTAATTTTGAACGATGTAACTTTAAAAACAGATACCGAAGGAAGCCTATGCAAGCATTCGCCGCTAATCTCTCAGTACAAGTCTCCGGCAAACTACCGAGTGGAATACTAAAAGGGGGATCCGAGTCTAGTCTTCCTTCACAGATAGCAGAGGATCAAACGGATTCGACAAGGTCAGCGAATCCACTCGAAAATCGCGCGTGTGTGCAGCCTCGCGACGAGCCACTCGCCTGGCTGACAATAAGATCTGTCCCTCGTGAACTCACGTAGGTGACCAATTTTCTCGTCGTGTCATAGAAACCGCGGTACCGCGGAATCCCGTAAGAAGCCGCGGCTTTCACGGCGTGTGTGTACACCGTCGGATGTGTACAGGTTGTCGTTGTGTGTATGAGCTTGCGTTTGCACACACAGAGATAGAAGGGACTGCATTTTCCCTGATACTCCCGCGAACCGAGAGGATCCTCGAAGGCAGAGAGAGCGCACCCCACACACACCCCTCGCTCTCCTCGCGGGTCTTCCATATTTCACGTTCAAAAAGCACGATGGGATTTGAGGCTGGCCAACGTATGCGCGCGATAAGTGTATATAGTAGCCGGCTGGTCATATATAACCGGGCAAAGTAGACGTTAGACTTAGGGGATGAACGTGCTCGTTGCAGGCTACAAATCTACGCTGAGCCCTGCAACGCCGAAGCCCGCGAATACTGTACCGGCGCGGCGTCGTCCTGGGTAATACCCAGCGACTGAAGGAAGCTTTCTACTACGTGCCGGCTTCTTTGTACCCCGCTGCTGGCATTATTAGCACGACCAGAGTCGCTTCACCGAAGACCAGTCGTTGTCTGTTGCGGAAGCGGCGGGTATCTGATGTACAGGTCACTGCTTTGGATTACGTTTCACCGTGTATTCTCGTGTATTTTCGGCGAATATCGTGTCATCGTGAAAGTGATGACTACGGTGTAAGCTGCGGAATTTTGAGGGTCAGGTATAATTCGAAATTGCTGGTTCTTTGGATTGGAAGGAGGTAGAGTGGGACCCCCTGTAACGCGGGAAATATATTTAATACGAATTAAGTTCCAGCGACATTGGTTTTTGGGTCGAATTTAATTAACTCGAAATTCTAAAATTCCAAATTCAGAATTTGTGTGTTCTTTACTTTTTTTTTTTTTTGATCGCGTTATACGAGGTCCTCTGACGCGGGAAACATACCTAATACAAATTAAGTTCCAGCGACGTCACTTTTTGGGTCAAATTTAATTAACCCAAAATTTCAAAAATTGCAAATTCAGAATTTGTGTGTTCTTTACTTTTTTTTTTTTGATCGCGTTATACGAGATCCTCTGATGCGGGAAACATACCTAATACAAATTAAATTCCACCGACATCGCTTTTTGGGTCAAATTTAATTAACCCGCAATTTCAGAAATTCCAAATTCAGAATTTGTACCCTTTTTCTTCTTTTTTTTTTGGATCGCGTTATATGGGGTCTTATGACGCGGGAAATATAGTACAAATTAAGTTCCATCGACATCGCTTTTTGGGTCAAATTTAATTAACCCAAAATTCCAAAATTCAAAATTCAGAATTTCTTTTTCCTTTTTATCGCGTTATACTGAGTTCCACTATACAGTAGAGCCTCTCATATCCGCACCCCCATTATCCGAATGTTCTATTATGAGAAAATTCTGTTATCCGAACAGCGGTTTCATAGCGATATTTGCATACAATCTTATCTACACTTCCCTGTATTAGGCAGAATACAAGGACTGTAACTCTACAGTTATCTATATCAAAACCTTTCGCGATTTAGCAACCAAAAAGATATGGAA